CGACACAGTTTTTCGAACTTTCTGCGTGGTTTAAGCCCTAATACTATTCCCTGACATATAAATATTGAGTCTAATGCTACGTAAAATAGAGTTGATTTTTATTTCACAACATATTCACAAATATCAAGGCTCTCTGACTTGACTGACAACTGTTCGGAATGCAAGTGCGCCGGCGATACGAGAAAATGAGAGATTTTAAGTAATTTGCCAAGTTTGTTTCTGGTGCAGCCAGAACTTGTATATTTTCCCGTTGTCTGTCTTCGTTTCATTTTAGTGTTCACGCACGACTTGTTCAAAATTGTGGCGTAACTTTCAATCTAACTCTTGTACCGTAATTATTATTTTTTATTTTTAAATAAATATGGAGGGTGAGTGATTTAAAAATGCATAGGTATTAAACAAAGGGGCAAAGGGTTATTTTATACACTTGCCTACTACAGATTTCATTTTATAAGGCTCAAACATTCATGGCCTAATTGCCATTCTATTTAACTTATTGATTTGCTCTCGAGTACATATTGCAATATCCGCGTAGGCATACCACGAAGTCATACTATTATTAAAGCTTGACCTTGACATCTCGTATACAACCTACGCCTACCACCTGAGCTTATAAAACGCGTACTATCATCTTATTTATATGATTTATTGGACTTTTATAAAATTAAACTATTAGTATTAGTAGTACTAACAGTATTCTTATTTCACTGTACATCAATAAATAAATACTGGATTTATTAGTTTTTTATTTGCATTTTAAATGAACAACAAAGTACCTAATATAAAAAACTAGTGAAGTATACACACGTTTTGAGTAAACTAGAATATTAATTTATTATTATGAAAATTTTAATTTTTACTAACCTTCGCTTGTTCCACGATAAAAAAATACCTTTATTTTTATATCATTTTACCTATTTGAATAATGTACCATAGAATTTTATATATCCTACGTATTATCAATTTTGTTCTAGTTGTATTCAGCCCTTTTTTAACGTCCTATTGGTAGACTCGGGCTTCCCTTCTAGGGGGATTTGGCCATAGTTAAGGGCGCACCGAGGCAAATACGAAATAATTGCGTTGGTTTGATCCCTTGGTGTATTGTTATTACTAAAACTTTAACTATGCAATTAATATGTAGGATATTTAAGGATTTGTTCTATAAGTCGTACATTTTAGAAACACGATTACTTGTAGTTTCCTCGATAGAAAAAAAATCCAAAATGATCTATAAAAAACGAAATAAACCCTTAGGGCGGCGTAAATAATTCAAGGAAGTTCATCAGTTTTTTAATAATAACAAAACTATACGTTTCCTACAACGTTATACACTTTACATTTTCAAAATATGTATTAGTTGTAATAATACAAAGGAAATACCTAAATTCGCACGTCAGTCAATCACTTTTGCTTTTTATATATAAATAATACAAAATAATAGATAACCATAATGATTTTACAAATAATGAGTTTTCATTTTCCTTAAGTGATTCCGTGAGTCTATAGCACAATTGTAAACGATTAGTATTTTTAATAAAAACTTCGTGACCATCTTTATAAAATTCACTTGTGATATCATGACTTGATTTATGAAATAACTACTATTTATTTATCTTATATAAACTTAATATATACCTAAATTCCATACTTATATGGATATATATTTATAAATATCAAAGTCAAACAAGGATTGCTTAAAATATGTATAAAAAATTCCGTGATAAAATTTATCGAAGTACCTACCTAATACCTATACATTATACAATTAAAATAAACAATTATTATCTTTAATCATTCATAGATACAGAGAAAAAACAAACAAGAAACAAAGCGATGTTAGTTTATATTACCAAAACCGGGATAAACATTTGTGTACCGAGAATAGATCGAGACAGATAGTATCCAGATTTATTACTTGTGTAATCGAATTTAGTTTTCGATATAAAAAGCACTGCAATGTAAACGCATACTTCAATGAGGAAAAATAATTTCCATAATGTTATCAAACACCCTACTTAAGAACTCTACTTGCTGTGCCAGCGGTCGCGGGTTCGAGTCTCGCTGGGGGCATTCATTGTGTGATGAGCACGAATGTTTGTACTCCAGTCATGGGTGTTAATATTTATAATACGTATGTATTTAAAGTTTATATAATATGTGTAGTATATCAACTATCTGGTATCCATAACACAAGCCTCGTAGCTTACCATGGAACTAGATGGTGCTGTGTATTAATGTCCAACATATAATTATTATTATTAATTAATACTAAATTAACACTAATATCTTCCACATACCACATAATATAAATGTCTCCTTAAAGCTTATCACCACGAAGACACCATCAAGACCACAGGACATATTAAAGCGTAGGACACCTACACGTTCCGTATTAGTATACTTTGACGTCTGTAGACCGCAAGGTATATACATATATATGTATATCCGTAGCACATTTTACCATTTGAATATGCCAAAAATAGTAAAGCCTCTGTAACAATTACAACCTTTTTATTATACAATATTTCTAAATATTATTTATTGGAATAATTCACAAAACTTTTTTTCCTATTGCTCCTCTAAGGTTTTGTTAAAGACTTAAATGTCCGATTTCACCAACATCCCATAAGCTACTACCTACATAAGGGATCCCTAGCTTAAAAGTTCCCCTAAACTAGCCCCTAAATTAAATTTCTTTTACCATCGTCAGAGCCCGTATTTCTAGTACCTATATTTAGGTGGAATTTTAATATTTAGGTGACCCCTAATTGTCGGTGAAACAGAAACTGCCCCTAACAGCCCCCTAACCATGCTTAGGGGATCCCTTAAACTTAGGTGAAATCGGCCAAAAGCCTCTCAAATATCGACTTTTAGGAATTAGCACTAAATTAAATTTACACTTGCTTATTAAAAGAATAGAAACTACATAAAAGATTTTTAAAATACGAACATTATTACAATATTTAGATCAGTTCTTAGTTTTGTTGTGATTACAGAACGAACATTTATTCTTCTAGAATCATCACGAAAATCATATTTGGGTTTTAATGTATTTGAATTAGTAATTAAGCCTGCGTATCTGTTAATTTAACTGAACCAAATTAACTAAATAATGTATTATTTTGTACTACTTGAGTATATTGGACTCTATTTTTTAAACAATTTTTGCATTAAAAATGCATTAAAAATATGTTTAAAAAATAGAGCTGTTTTTAAACATCCATACTAATATTATAAAGGTGAAAGTGTTTGTTTCTTTGTCCTTCTTTCACGACGAAACGGAGTGACGGATTCATATGATTTTTTGTGTGGAGATAGTTGGAGGGCTGGAGAGTGACATAGGCTACTTTTTATCGCGGGAGATCATCTCATTCCCACGGGAAAACGGGTTATAATACAATTCAAAAAAATATTTATGATCAGAATTACTTGAAACTTGGTATTAATAGGGTAAAATAGGGGATGGAAGTTTATATGATATCTTTTTAGAGACTTTTTTGTTGTTTAAGCGCGAGCGAAGCCGCGGGTTCTGCTAGTACTATATAATTATCAGCTGGTAAGCATTGTCGTTTGAGCCTGAAGTCTTACAAATAAGAAAGAATTGTTTCACCTTTAGATATGCTACAATTTACCTTCACTTTTGAACTAAGGGCTTACCATCAACTCGTATTGCGACTCAATTTAGGACCCAGAAATAATAATCGGCATTTCGTACCATGAGGTTCATAAAACGTTCAGTTTACGTCGCTGCCAAAACAGACTCCAGGTAAATTTCTAAGAAATTAATTGTTAACTGACACACCGATGTGCCCGCGGTCGTTGACGGATTAATGTATATTACAATTAAAAATTATATTATTGAAGCCTATCTGCATACCGCGAATGATTTCAATGTTTTTAGTCAAAATATACCAATGTAGTATGTATAAATATATGTATAATAACATAAGTATTTGGATTAGTTCAGTTGGCAATATTTTGTTGATTCAGGTAAATACATTATAAGCGTTGACAATTGTACGCTATTTCATATTGTCACGTTTGAATAATATTACTAAGGAAAATGTGACTTAAAGCCTACTCCAAACAACCATTACGTATTTAACAATTAACTTTGTTTTATCCAATATATACTAGTTTTATTTAAAAGATAAATAATAGATTTATTTGAAAGATAAACGATACAAAAATTTTTTATCGACTTCAAAAAAGGAGAAAGTACCTTTTTTTCGGATGTACCTACATACATTATACCCTTTTTTATGGATAGGTATATTATGCGATATTAATCGAATTTTATCATTCTACGCTAGTGGCTTTACCTCAAGATTTGTCTACTTAAAGGTCTTATATACTTTAAAGTATATATTATACTTTAAAGATCGAATAATTACTTTTAAAATGATTTTGAATGCGGAATTCCCTTCTTGATAAAATTTAATTTTGACGTAAAGCACAGATGACATCTATTGTATATATAATAAAACTGTAGAGGTCGAATGTCTACACATAGAAAATAAATGCTAAAAACCGAGTCAGGGGGATGTAAGAAGAATAGAACAAATCCAGATTTTTTTCATTCTTATGTTTCTTTGTCTATTTGTCTGTTTGTACTTTTTAGGTTACTTTTTATCCCGGAAAAATAAACCCGAGCGAAGCGAGGGTGAGCCGCTAGTAATAGATAAAACTATTCTAGAAGTGAAGTAAACTTAATTTCCGAGACATTGTTAGCTATAAGTGGAAATATTAATCCACTTTGTGCTTACTAATATAATATTTTCTCTTCAATACAAGATAAATATAGGTAGATATAATAATAATAATTAACTATTCATAATTCATTTAATTGTGTACTTAAAATTATAAACTAGATAACTTGTTCTTATTATAATTTTTGAATATAGCAAAAATTTTACGAGTTTTAATGTATAATGAAATTACGATTTCAATAAGGTAAAATATAACAGGATAACACATATAATTTAACTATATTGTTTTAGCATCCGGCACGATGCGAGAATTTGAATTTTCCTTGGGCTCTTTGCTGATGATTTGCGGTTTTTTCATCATGTATCTCGTTGAAGAACTGGTCCACATGTACATTCACCGGAGAGAGAAAAGAAACGGTTTAAAGTCCCCGCTCGTCAGGAACCTTAGTGTGCGCAGGAGTGCAGGCTGTGGTAGTGCAAGCAAGGAAGGAGATAAAAGTGTTACCAACTCTACCGCCGATCTTATTGATCCAGCTTGCATTAAAAAGGGCAAGGTAAGAATATGTTCTATTTCAGTAGTTTCTCTCGAAAACTTGAGTAGGTAGGTAAAAAATGAAAACCTACTTAACATACTTTCTAGAGCAGTTACATTATATTCAGCCCTTTTAAACATTCCACTGCTGAGCATGGACCTCCCTTAATACGAGGTGATCAGACCATAGGACTGCACATGTCTTTTAAAACCTTGCTAGTTTCTCTCTGACATGCAGGTTTCCTCACAATGTTTTCCTTCACCGTAAGACAAGTGGTAATCATTCTGGATATTATACGCACATGAAAATGTTAGAGAAGCGAGACCCGGGACTTGAACCCACTTCACTCGGTTTCCCAAGCGAGCGCGTTACCACTTGGCTACTGGGGCGTTTAAAAATTGTCCAAATTTTTTTTTATGCTATAAATATGGGCATGAAGTTACACTTTGGTACTTACTGAAAGTAATAGATACATTTAAATAAGGGATAGTGATTATATTTATAGGTTTCATTTTTGACAATAGTATTGACTATTTATAGCACGCTATGAATTTCTATGTCAAACAGATAATTAGCTTTAATTATTGTTAAACTGTAAGCAGAACTCGTATTAGTGTTTATATTTTTGTTTTAATAACAAACCTATTCATCGCAAAAAAGGAAATAATTACATCTATTTAGATTCAAGTAGATAGACAAACAGGAAACGATTGTTAAATTTAAGCATATTGTTAGACATCTTGACGGATACATAAGTATAGATTTAAAGTATTTTTATGTGTATACTTTTATTTTTAGGATGTAGAAATAAACCACAATGACAACAGCCATTCACATGCGCATCATGGTCACAGCCACATGCCTATTAGCACCGCCGACGATGTGACCTCAGCTTTACGTGGTCTGCTCATAGTACTCGCTCTATCTATCCATGAACTGTTTGAAGGTCTGGCTGTTGGCTTAGAATCGAGCTCCTCGCATGTTTGGTGAGTGGTAAATAGTATTTTTTTATATGTTAACATTAGCGCCACCTGTTGTTGAGTAGCAAGTTTTTTATTAGTAATAATTTTTGTAAGTGAACTAACTTAATACTAGATGGCGCTTAGACACTTTTCTTATTTATATTATTATCTACGTCTATAGATGGCGCTGTACATTACGATTTGTTATGGATATTTTTAAATTAAAAAAAATCAGTTTCCTAATTTTATATTTTTAACCCATGATAAAAAGGAGGAGGTTCTCAATTTGACATATACATATATAATTTTATATTTTTTTGACCACGTATAACATTTTACAGTGTAGTCCGATTTTGATAATTCTTTTTTTAATTAGATAGGTTATATTATATGTATATAGGTACCTCAAAGTTGCTCCCATTTGAATATAAAAAGAAATCCACCCTAAATGTAGAAAATAGAGGATGATTTATTTTTCACCTACTGAATTTTTAAAATACTTCTTATTTTCCTACTACTATGTCTACACTAAAAATGGAAAAATAAAAACTTTACAAAAAAAGTTAAGTTTTTAATAATATATAGAATTCTTATATAAACCAAAATAAAACAATTATTTTTTTATTACGTCAATAAAATTCAAATTTCTTGTCAATTAAAATAGGAGTAAGTATGTCGCTTTTGGTTTTGTTATAACAAAATATTTTTACAGGTACATGTTAGGAGCTGTATCTGCCCACAAGTTAGTCATCGCGTTCTGTATTGGCGTAGAACTAATCGCAACGCGTACAAAAACTTGGCTTGCTGTTATTTACATCACAACGTTTGCCATTGTATCGCCTATAGGCATTGGCATTGGACTAATCTTGGTCGGTGGACAAGGTGCCACGGCTGCTGGAGTATACTCTGTAGTACTGCAAGGATTAGCTTCTGGTACCCTACTCTACGTTATATTCTTTGAAATATGGAAGAGTGACAGGACCGGCATCCTTCAATACTTTGCTGCTCTTATCGGTTTCGGACTGATGTTTGGATTGCAGCTATTGAGTAAGTATAACTCAGTATACACTATACATACATTAATGATATCACATTACACTACTATTATAAATACAAAAGTATGTATGAAAATGTCTGTTTGTTACTTTTTTACGCTGAAACAGCTGGACGGATTTCGATGAAATTTAGTTTTATAGATAGATTATATCCTGGACTAATATATGGGGTACTGAAATAGTCGCTATTATTTATTAAAATTAGCAAATACTCGATAAGTTTTTTCCTTAAAAACCAGGCCAATTATTATCAAGATCGGTTTCGGAGTTTAGGTGTGTCTACACAACACAAAGTACAGATAGCAAACACATAGATATAATATTTAAGATTATTATTATTGTATTGGGTGTGGTGCCGAGGTCGGCCCTAGCTACGTCGACCAGTTATGGTCCATTGTAGCTGAATATAATATTTAAGATATTTTTTTTCTTGAAATAGTTTGTGATTATGTTTAAAGCATTTTCTAATTTGTATATTTTTTTTACAGCTGGCCATTCTCACAGCCATTCGCACGGCGGTAGTTCCACAAATGATGACCACGGACACAGTCACGACCGTTGAACTTTATCTTTTGTAATTATTTGTACTTAATTGTATGTCTATACGAATTTTATTTATTACATAAAGACGCAGTAATGTGATACGTATTATATAAAACTTATTTATCTATAAGCATTAAGCATTTCATGTATAAATACTAATTTTGTAACGAAAGAACTACTTACACCTTTTGCTCTACCTACGAGTATATTGTTTTCTAATGGAATTGTTAACTATAACTTTATAAAATGGTTTTTGACAATATTAACAGAACAAATCTAGTCAGAATAGTTTAACTACTAACTAAATTTAAAACTTTGTTTTTGAGTTTAATTTTGTAAGATGCAATGTAGAGAAGTTGATTAACTGCTAAGCAATATCTTTAAGAAAATGGCTGACCCCTAGATAGAGACAAGAAAAGTATTTGGGTAACATTCTGTCTCATTCCTGTAGACTTAAAAATACATTATATACAGACATACGTATCTATATATTACATACATAGATAAAAAATAACAATACTTATAATCAAAATGCAAGAATGAGACAGCTTACTGCATCTCCTTGTCTAATTAAGCTAAACTAGTGCAAGTACATATATCATAATAATATACAATATGACAGTCTACTAATCCATATAGGTGTCATGAAGGTGTCTAGAGAGTACAATCTAGGATGTACGGAGTGAAACGCGAATGACGTGATACCGATTGTCACTCTTATTTTTATATTATATTACATACATGGGAAATGCCTTTAGGTTTGAGGGATATAACTGTAATGTTCCACAAGGTACTACAGCACCAACTCCGAAACCATTTGCTATGAAAATTGTTTTTTTTACAATACATATTTGCACTTTATAGCATTTCTGTTGTTGCGTTAAATGTTATGGGAAATTGCCTACTGTATGGGTTTTATACTGTGAGACCTTAGAGTATTCCTATATATCGACGGCACAGTGGAGATGAATATAAAACTAAGCGTAAACTCAGAAGTGACCCTAAAATTGTACTAATAATTAGATATTATATTACTAATAAAGTTGGTAGTGTTGCCAGAAAAAACAAATAGTTAAAAAAAACTTAGGTGGGAGAAAAATAAACGTCTGTGATATAATTAAAGACATAAGCAGATGTAAGCCGAGAACTAGACCTAGGACATGCCCATGAACGAATTCATGGACATGCCTTACATTTAATTGAACTTTTGTTAATTTAATTAGTTAATTATTATAATGTACAAAACCCAATACTTTATATTTTTTTTAAACAAAGAGCAATGTGTAAATAGATTTATTAATGAATATAAATATAGCGATTAATAATTTATTGAGTATATTTTTAAACCTAACCTAACCTATAAGTCCTATATTTCCTAACAAGTGCTTTTCAAAACTCACAGGACAATATTATAGTCCAGTGCTTAAACTAATTATTTCTATTAACAGCTTCCTATATGTGTGTTATTTAGAATTGTAAGGCGTTACACAAAATTTAGTTAAAATCAACAAAAATAACTTAAGGTCAAAGAGAAACCCCATGGTTGCTGTGGCTGCTTCGGCAGACCTGCCGTCGGGGCGTCGTAGTTGAATGCGTGAGCGATCCTGCGCCGCCCGTCCCATTAAGACGGGGGAAGGTTTTGTTGGGTTTTAGTGGGTAGTACTGGCTTTGCCGGTGAGTCCCACACCTCGTGCGTAAATGCATTTCCCAACGTTAAAAAAAAGGTCAAAGAGAAAGGGATTCTCAAATCAGTATTTAATTCTTGAAGCTTAATCTGAAAACGACTCTAATTGACGTAGCGCTAATTTGGATAGAGACGTGTATTTTATACATTTCAAGTGTGTCTAGTTTTTTCTTCTAATGCCGTCGGGGCGTCGTAGTTGAACGCGTAAGCTATACTGCGACGGGGGAGGTTTCGTTGGGTTTTAGTGCGTAGTACCGGCTTTTCTAGCCGGTGAGTCCCACATAACTGCCTGTTTGTCTGCAGGTGGTATGCGTTAATGCATTTCCCAACATAAAAAAAGGTACCTACTTACTCGCAGCACAGGTGCTACTTTTTCCTATATCAAATAGGTAATCTCATAACCTATTCTGATCAAAGATTATATTAACTGTATACTATTTTGATTAAATATTATATGAAACAGGTGTCAGGCACTCACCATGATTAAGTTTTATCGACGTCGTTCTATTCAATAGTCAATATATATATTAGTTAATAGGCAAATATGACTCGTGAAGTGAACATGGCCAGCCTTAGTTTTATTTTAAAACTACGAATGCTTTTCGGCTTTTATCATAATATTTCTAAAAATATTTGGCAGGGGTATATAATCAAATTATTACTAGTGACCCTTGCAGTGCATTATATCTACATGGGAACAATGTGCAATGGACAAAAATTTGAAGATGTTATCAAAGTAGCGAGATTGGTAGAGTACTCCTTGTATATCATGTGTTCAATTTATACAGGAGATGAGTATCTTATCATTTTTTTTTCAATCGATCCTTTAATTGACGACAAGAATTATTCCAAGAACATGCGAAAAAAAACGATAAAGATTTTAATTTACTATATTGTGGCCTTAACGAGTTTTTACTCTGTAATTTCCGTGTGTTTCTTATATGCCACTGATGGCGCATGCTCTGCAAATAAATTTCACTATATTTATAAGAGTCTTATACGTTATGCAAATGAAATTGGAAGAATACCCATTGTGATAGTATTTATTTTATTATACTTTCGCGTGAAGATATTTTGCACTAAGCTTCGTAAAGAGGTTCTTAATAATGCTACGGCTATATTAATTGATGGGAAGGAACATATTAAGATTTATATTAAAATATTGGATTCTCTAGAGAAAACTGATTGGCCAATTAAATTTATGGTATCTACTAAAATATATTATAAGATTTGTCATATTTTATACATTATTAAAAATTTCAGCCTTAATTCTAACAATTACGCTGTTTTAGATGCTTCTAAACCTCATTACTGGTTTCATATTGGTCACATATATGCAGTTTATGCTTATTGAACATTACAAAAATAAAGTGAGTATAGTCAAAAAACAATTCGTTAGTAATATCCAAGTCAGAATATACTTGATATACTACCTAATGGAATATACTATGGTACCTAAAGTTTCTAAGAATAAATAGATAAATGTTCTTCAATCAGAAATAAGGTAGGGTATAGCGGGGCTAAAAGCCCAATTTAGTAATATTGCCTCGTAACTATTTAACTATAAGGATTCCGGAAAAGATCCAAATACCAATGAGTATCGTAGTCCTTCTTTTAAACATAATTATTAATGAATATGATTCGTTTATGACTATTCGCCAGTATCAAAAATTTAGAAAGGCAGTTCTAGTGGTCCTTTAAGCCCCGCTCTAGAGGCAAAAGTGGTTAAAAGGACCAGTATGAATAAACTTCATATATACATTTTTCATTTTTTATTCATATAAATTCTTTATATTTATTTCGAAAAATCAAATGTTCGTTACATTTATTAAGAAATAATAACAGATATAGACTATTAATCAGAGCACTTTTGTTACTATTTCAGTCTTAATAACAAGTTTTTAGTTTTATTTTTGGTCCAAGACCCACATTATAATGCAATCTGTCGGCCTATCTCGCACAAAGTGGTATATTTGTTTCTTTGAAATACAAATAAGGCGGTACAGAAGCTTCAGTTGCTGGAACAGTTACTAGCAAAGTTATAGCATTTACAGATCCAGCATTTCTCTTTCCTTTAGCCGCAATTATGTTTGAAGGTTAAGTGACAGTTGTAATGGCAGTTCCATCGGCATTCCATAAGATGACTCTCTAAATTTCGATCGATCGTTTCGATACATGACTTTCTCGCCATAAATCCTGCCATAAATTCAGTCTGTCCCAAGTCGTTCTTTGCCATATCTCTAGAATTTTTAAATTATACTGCACAGCGCAATCATAAGCCAGCCGTCGAACATCTTTGGGACCATGTCTGACCATGGAAAATATGAGCAACTGTCAGTAAATATTCACACAGAGAAGTTTCTTATATTGCTGTATACCCCAAACTTGGAGTCCCATAACTAAATCTTGGTGATTCAGGATTTTCTTTTAGATGTGCTACGTTGCCTCCTCCTTCGGATAGAATAGGGTGGGGTATCCCTTTTTTTTTTTTTTTTTAACGTTGGGAAATGCATTTACGCACGACGTGTGGGACTCACCGGCGTAATACAGCCAGTACTACCCACTAAAACCCAACAAAACCTTCCCCCGTCTTAATGGGGCGTCGCAGGATCGCTTACGCATTCAACTACGACGCCTCGACGGCAGGTCTGCCAAAGCAGACCACCACAACCATGGGGTTGCTCCAAGGTCCACTCTGCTATCAGAGAAGTACCAGGAACAACCCACAAGGTACACCGCCCCCCGAAGAGGGCCACCTCCCACCGCCCACCGAAGTGGGCAACCTCCCTGTGCGTTTCTTAGCTTCGCTACTACTACTGAGCCCCCCCACCACGACAAGGTGAACGCACGTTGGGGGGGAGGGTGGTATATCCCTAGAGCAATATGAGGTTTACAAAAATCTATTTACTTTTGCTGACAAAATTCGCAAGTAAGCGTCCTATTATCATTTTCGTCATCTACACCAACACAGCTACAGTGAACATATTTGTCGCTTGCAGGAAATACGGCCCTGCCTTCATTTGACTCCGAATAACAACTTTCACAATATGGTGTATTTTCAACTTCACTATCGCTACTTTGATGAACTAAATTTCTATACTTTTTTTTATTAACTGTAGATTTTTTTTTCAGTTTTCTTAAGTGCTCTTATTTCTTTTTTCTTTTGATTATCTTCCTCTGCTAGTTTCTTTTTTTAATTGTCTCTTCTAATTCGATTCAATTCATATTATGGTAATTAAGTTATAATACCGGTTTTTTCTTGTTTTCTAATAACGCGAGAAGCTATGCGTGTTACTGGGAAGGGCCAAATTTTTTGCAGAGGACTAGCTACAGAAAATGTTGACTTTTGTGGAGTACTTGGTGTTCTGTCTACTTCAGTGTTACTAGATCAACTAGAATGACCAGGCTTAGGGGTTGATATTGCAGTTAGCACGCAAGGGCTATCGATCGATATTTATTGATGTACTTCTATTAACAGACACAGAAGTAGTCACTTTTAGTCTAAAAATCTCGGAATTACGCAACGGTGCTGCTGCAGCAGCTAATTCGATACTAGATGTTTTAGTTGTTGTAGTTAGTACTTCAGTATTAGGCTCTTTCTCGGTTTGCGGAATATCCATCATCAATGAAACAGCAAAGTCACTTTCAGAGAAAACTGATCCATCAAATAGCCAAATACATTGAAGACGCCCTTCGGTTCTTTTTCTCGCCCTTAAGTCTTCGCTGCTAAATAGTAACCCATTTTGCCTTGTATCACAGACTCCACTGTATTTTTCTCTCTTCTGACCAATCTTCTCTATTTGTTTTTCTTTTATAAGCGGTCACCATTCTACTACGATAAAAAGAAACTTCAATAGTGTCTTACAAATCATAACCCTTTTACTGAAATAGCCAAATAAAAGCTTTAAAAATATTATATTGCGGGCAAGATATAGGATACCCAGTCTTGTCCTGTCATGCCCAATTGAATTAAAAACTTAATCTTTATAAACAACGCTCTCACACACAAATAAACAAGTGCTTACCTGCAAGCCTAATCGTTTACAAATATAAATAATTTTCTTTAAATTGTTGTTATTTACAGAGCAAACACGTGTCAAGTGAATTAAAAAAAACGCCAAAGAAATGCCAAATTTTTTTTTTCCCCTTTACAACTAAAAAACGTGGTGTCGTCGTCCAGTGACTTGGCTAATTAATAAGTTAACTGTCATGGTGGCGCTCTGTCATGTCCAAAAACGGTCATGATTGGTCAATTAGTTTCTGATATCAGATGGGTACCCGGTACCCCGTTTTGCCCGCCACCCCATCTTGCACTATCATAAGCGCAAATCGGTTGGATATTTATAACAGACAAATCGTCATGATTTGGCACCGCTGAGAGTGACGAATTTTGTCATTTTATTGTATTTACTTATTCATAATAGCGACAGATTATTGTTAATTACGCTATTCTATATTTACAGGAGATAGAACTTGGCTTGTACGATGTTAATGTGTTGCTACAAATATTGCACAAATATGCAGTAACGTTTTTCCCTTCAATAATGATGGAGATAATATCTCAGGAATTGGATGGATTAAAAATTGATATCGCTGACCAAATAATAACATGCACGAGTAAGTTTACCTAACTTAAAAATGGATTTAAGTTATGTTTTGTTTATAAAAAAATATAATAGGTATAACGGTAATACCGACTTAGGTATATTGTTACGAAAATCCTAAAAATAAAATAAAAATAGTTTTCTATGAATAGATATAATTTATTTGGGCATGCATGCTGCATGCATCTATTTGCATTAATTATATGGGAATGTAAATAAAGGGGAATATAAAGTAGGTAAGATAAGTAATTATTTTACACTAGTTAATTCGTTGGACTAACTAGGCTAATTAAAGAACTAAAAGAATACGCTTTAATGATGAACCGAACTAAAAAGTAAAAAATATTTTTAGTTTAAGAATAAAGTGATTAACGAGAAATTTAATGTTATTGTGAAAAAAGCGTGGGGTGCTTTGTACAATAGTTTTATTTTTTATACTCACTATATTTTTAACAAAATTAATAAGTTATTAAATGAAAAAGTCTAAGCTACTAGTCGCCTTGTAATATTTTTCTTCAGCCATACTGGAAGTATACTACTCGGAGAACTCAAACCGTAATTATTTGTGACTTCTTCTGGAGTTGTAAATTATTATCATTCCCAATTCTTTGTCATCATTACCATGCGTAGATAATAATTTCACAGGTCGATCTCTGCCAATTTCTTAAATAATTAAGCATCCTTTTTTTTTTTTTTTTTTAATGTCGGGAAATGCATTTACGCATACCACCTGATCCCCCAGGTGGTGATGTGGGGCTCACCGGCTAGAAGAGCCGGTACTACCCACTAAAACCCGACATTCCCCTCCCCTCCGCCTTAATGGGACGCCGCAGGATCGCTTGCGCATAACTACTACGGCGCCCCGGCGGCAGGTCTGCCTAAGCGCTAGGCAGACCACCAAACCAATGGGGCTGCTCCACAGTCAACTCTGCTACGCCAGAGAGGTACCCGGAGCAGCCCCATTAAACCTAACCACCGCCCACCGAAGTGGGCCACCTCCAATCGGCTGCAGAGGACAGGGAGAGCGGCAACGAAACACCGACACTCCTCTTTCCCTGCAGCCCCACCGCGTCCGCCATCAAACGGTGGCGGCCCCGTCTAGGCCGCGGAAGGTAGGGAGAACGGCGCACCGAAATACCGGCACTCCTCTCCCGCCGCGGCCTACTCCTCCGCCGGATGCGGGCCTGCGATCACAGTCCCGCAACCGGCACCCATCATCCGGTTGTGGGACCAAGCGGTCCCACCACCGGTGGCCGCAACGTCTTCGGCTCGAGTCCTAGACGAGCGGCCCCACCCAAGCCATTTGGTCCGCGCCGGATTTCTCCGGTACCACCCGCCGCCCTAAGCGGGTGGCATTCCCCTATCCGCCACCTGGGGACGCGCCCGGTAGGAGTTGGCTTCTCCCCCGGGAAATAATTAAGCATCCTAGATTAATACGTTTATTTTTCATGTAATTTTTCATAATTATAATATTAATAAAAATATTTTTGTCGCATTTTTTTTTTAAATTTGCACGACACTGTTGAACTATAGTCAAAGATTCTTTTACATAGATAGATAGATACGAGTGAAGCTAATAAAAGCGTCTTAAAAATCATGTTTTGTGTATATAATTGGTCCATTTAGTCACCGATTCCGAAAATGACAAATATGAAACGCTTTAAATTCAAAGTTCACACAAATTTTCATGTATTTCTAACGTAAATTTTAATATCGACCATTAAGAACTATAAGCGTAGGTGGTACTTATCCGTCTAAATTGGCTGACTGGCATAATTACTTCGTCAAATTGTCACATCCATGCGTTATATATGCTCATTTCTCTATTTATTATGTCCCTTTATTTTACTATTTTTATTTAAAACCTGCATTGGGAAACAGTTTGTTCATTTAAAATTTTATCTATAGTTCTAGGTGAAAGACGCCGGTCAAATCTACGGGAGCTGTTGAATTACTTTAGTGGACATCCGCTAAAATACAGCATATATCGCGCTTTTCACCTTTGCTCTCGTTTGCCTTTGGCTTATCTCTCGCTGGCCGCCACCTACTTAGTATGTTTATTACAATTTACACATGTTCTTAACAAGGATAAGGTATAAGATTATTCATTACTTTTATTTTAGTGTCGAAGTTATATTATGTTACGCAGATAGGTGTAATAAATAGATAATTAAAAACAAAAATACACACACAAACAACAGTAACAGACACACACACAGACAGACAGAGACACACGGACAGACAGAGACACATAGATAGACAGAGAGACAGACAAAAATTCTAAAAACTATAGATTCGGCCTCTGTATTTATAATAATGTTTATTTCAATAAGATTTTAAAAAATAATTAAGGTACAGATTCGGCTTAGTAACAATTTTATAATATGTATAGATATCGACAAACCATTTTGGAATTGAATGGACAATATAAAGATTATTCTTAACTCGCATCATCTCTGAGGCCGTGTAAAGCCGTTGATTCTGCGCCTGATCTCTCACCCCCGAGTGTCTAAATATCATCCCACCGGAATTTGAGAGTAAAAGGAATAAAGATGTGTGTAACCTGTAGGTTACCTAAATATTATTATATTTATATTATGTATATTTTGCTTTAAACTGGTAGATGATAGAGTTTTGTTTTGTGACTTGTTTACTTGCGCAATAAACATATTTAACATAAAACGTTTTTTTTAATTGAACAGTGGCTCTGTACCTTTAAATATATAACAGGTAGGTACTTCCTCAGATTAACGCGAATAATTGTATTTTTATTAATGTAGGTACGTTTTAAATATATAGATATAAATAATTATTGCAAGTGTACCTTAAGAGAAAAATTTTATGTTATTAAAGATTTTTCTGTAGGCTTTTTTAAGATTTACAATTTTCTAGTAGGTACATTGTAACTTTTATCTCGGTTTAGCCAGCGTTAGATATGTAAACTAAAGACAACTTGACAGAATCAGATATGATGTTTTCCTGAGGAAGTGAAAGATTTTACTGTAGTAAAAGGTATCCTAAATGAGAAATGCGCACACACAAACAGACAAGCAAACATACAGACAATTAACAGACAATTTTCTTTAATAACTATTGTTTTGGGGGGTCTATATCTGTACCTACAAAATACGTTACAGTCATTGTTTTTAAAAAAATATTTCATGTACATATTTAGTAATTAGTTATGTATAAATTAATAAATAATTAATATACTATTATATTTATACTTAATATACGTATAAATTAATTAATTATACTATTATATTTATATTTATAAATAGATATAAGTACATATATAGTCCGGACAAATAAGGTCTGAAATGAACATTTTTCACTCAACTTAGCATTTTTGATATAATGTTGTTTTAATCATACAAAAACAATGTGTAAAGGTTTTCGTGTCTGCAACCCCCGGCAAGAGTTGAAAAAAAATTGTCAAAAATGTTTTTTCATAAAAAGAAAACATAAATTATATATAATACAAACTATATATAATATAAACGATAATTACATAAAAAAGTATCATGACTTTTTTCCTCCGGTCAAAATTAACCGAGTTATGGAGGTTAGGTTTGATAATCGCTTTCATTAGGCGTTCGTACTTAGATAGATTTATTAAAGAATCTGTGATATTTTTTTTTGAATAACAAAAACCAAATTGAACTATAGAACCTAAATTTTAACTACTTTTAAGTTTTATTGCGTCTTACAGCTTGCAACACCGTTGCTTTTTGTCATTCAATGGACTTAATGTACTTGTAATAAATTATCTGTGGCTATATACTTCACTTCATTCATTGATTCATTCCCTTTTCATTCATGTTTTATCGCGTAAATGACAAATTATGAAAGAAAAGCACCGTAAAAATTGGCATAGTAAACATTAATCCACAGAGTACATTCATTAATCAATCATATTTGTTTACTAGATATTAACTTAAAAAAGTTTACTCTTAGCTTTCAAATAGTAATTCCAAAGCAAAAAACGTAACGTATTACAACTTTTTCGAGGTAAGTAAAAGCTTTCGCTAATTCATAGAAGAATTTATGATCCACCCATAAAATTACCATTATCGGTAAAATGATATTTTTTTAAGCTAGAAAGCTGCATGAATATGACATAATCAAGTTGAAAGGTGAAATTACACCGATTATTTAACCTTGTAACGCTAGGTGTTGGAAAGTTGTTGCGACCTAACATCTATGAAGTATGAACTAAGTAACTAGTTAGTTTCTCTATAGATCTCGTTGGTGGTGATCGTGTTTCACTCCCGTAAATTTAAAATTTTATTAATTGTCATGGCCTTTATGCTAGAAACAACAGTTTGCCTTTCTGTTATATCTGACAGTGAGTATATTCAACATTTAGATAAAAACAAATAATATAATAGGTCAAAAAAAAAAGACAGTTTTTTGTATTTGTACTACACAGATATGGTCTTGGAAAATGTAACTCACTGCACCTGTTTTAGTCTGCCTTCTGTTAATGAGAACAATATACATAACTTGAGTGAGCCCTTAATGCTAAAACAAAACTTTTAATTTAGCTTCGCTTTCAAAATGTATCTCAATGGAAATTTAATAAATATAAGTTTCTTTGAATGTGATAAATATATTACAAATTATTTAATACCATCTCTTTTTGGAAGAGATTCACTTCCCATGTTAGTATAGATAATGAATGTCCATTAATGTTTCAATAATTATAAAAACTAATTTACAGCTAAAGAATATCGTCAGTTTCCTCGCAGCATGTCGAATCCAGGTTTAACATCTGAAGCTCAAATTAGATACATACTTCAATGGTTTGGGGAATTTAGTGAACTACAAAGGGAAGATTTTCTTCCTATATTAGTTGCAGCTCATAACGGAAAACCTGATCAACTGGCATCTACACTTGCTTCATTGACATGTGATGATAAGCCGGTCAGTTTGTTTCAGTGTCGTGTAAGTATACATGTTTATATGTTAATTGTTGATTATTTCAATTGTTTTATTAAGTTGTCCGAATAACAAAGGACACTTGTTAGCTAATTTAAAAAAAAACAATAAGTGCCATAATTCATTTTATTACTTTGTATATTTCACATTTTCCTATTTCTGTTTTTATTATGAGAAATAAAAATATAAATCTAACTAAGATTATTATAATAAACAAATATTATATAGATATATTTATTTTGCAGATCAAATTATTTAATGAGTGGTTCCCAACATGGTCAGAGGAAGAACAAGATAGGCTTATAAAAGGAGTGTCAGATATGGATTCAGATTTTGGTACTAAATTACAAGATGCATTTGTTAATGGTGTAAAAATAAATGGTCTGGATGAAGAGCATTTAAAATATGAGTCACCTATTGTTCCTGTCGAGGTAAATGACACAGAGATAGTTAATAATGATATTGAATCATTGGCAGTTTCACAAGATAATTTAAATGTGGAAATTGCAGCTGCTTCCTAAAAACAAAAATCAAATTTAATAGTAGTATAGTATTTATTTCATGTAGTTAGAATATTTGTCATATAAAAAGATGGTTTTTCAAATAATAATTTTGTATACATATCAACAAACACCATGAAAATGTTTTTATTTATGTATATTATTATATATAGGCAATGGTATTCATATTAGTGCTTGCTTGGGAAACCGAGTGAAGCAGCTTCAAATCCCGTGTTTTGCACCTCTGCTATTTTCATGTGCAAATCATTTCCAATATGATTACCACTTGCCTTACGGTGAAGGAAAACACCATGAGGAAACCTGCATGCCTGAGAGAACTTAGTGAGTTTTTGAAAAACAAGTTTGATGGACTATGGCCTGATCTCACCCTATTGATGGGAGAAGACACATATTACTATAATAACACTCTGTTTTATTATATGTCATGGAATTAAGTTGAATCTACAATTCCGCTATATTATTGGAACTTTGGTTGTTTGTTGTTAGCCAAGTTTGGTGGAATTTTTATTTGAATCACACATCTCTACTATATTTATGAGTATGGCACAACTTTTCCTTCTTAGTATTAAATAATATATTTAGATATTTTTGTAAAGGTATCTTTATATTTAAAAATTAGTTCTTATTTGTTGTTAAATAGGAAAGAAATTTTATTACTTTTTAATTAGACATAAGATATAGTAACATTCCATATTATAGCATTCCGTGTTTTAACTTCCATTTTTGAATCTCATGTACAAGCTTAATCTTCCATAACTATAGATATGCATTACATTTTTGTAATGAAATTTTTAGATTTGCTAATAACTTCCTTCCACTTTACCTTATTTGGGGGGAATCTGCTTTATGTAATTTTTTATAATAATAATTAAATTTGTCTGTGACTTAGCCATACAGTATATTTCTCTGCTTTCTAACTTAAAAAAAATCTCTTACAATATACTACAAAGTAACTTAATTGTTCTATGTTGAATTTAAAAGGATTTATTCTGTATTATATTTGTAAGGACATTGAGATAATGTTGCCATTAACTGCCATTTATATTTTATTTACATTTATTAATATCATGTGGAATAAATCATTCCAAAGACAGAAAGGAAGTACAAACTTATATACTGTGCCAATATTAAATATTCCTTCATATATTCTTACTGTAATTTGAATAAAAAAATATATAACATATTGACTATGATGCGGATCGAGTGATAGAAAGGTGCTGGCGACGAGATGGGAAGAGAAAGGCGTTTGATATTCACAATATCATAGATTTACATAGTATTTAAATAAATATGTCGTAAAATCTATGTTTTATTTATAACACCTTTTAAAAATTGTATAATATAAAAGTTTATTATATAACTTATTCTTTTGGATTACATGATCGACATACTTATCTTTAAGACTTATGAGTAAGTAGTTAGTTATAGTGTTGTAATAAAAAACTATATAACTTTGCAATTAAAAAAAACAAATGGTCGAGTTTCACCCCATACTTACTTTCTCTCAGCAGAACTGCATTTAGAGCAAGTCTGATTAACTGCACTCTGTCTTCATTCAAAAGTAATTGAAAAGTTTAATTTTCATTTCAAATATTAAATATTTTCTTATATTCGTTATAACAAAGAATGGTGATTTTTATGAATTTACGATACTAGCAGAACCCTCGGCTTCGCTCGCGCTAAAACTACAAAAAAATCTGTATTAAGTAGGTTTCATACAAACATTCATCTCCTATTTTACCCCCTTATAGGATAAATTTCGAAAAATCCTAAAACACATATTTATTTGTCTTAAAGAGCATTAATACCAAGTTCAAGTAATTCTGATCATAAATGTTTTGTTGGGTTGCATTATAACGTGTTTTCCCGTGGGAATGAGATGATTTCCCGCAATAAAATGTAGCCTACGTCACTCTCCAGCTCTCGAACTATCTTCACACCAAAAATCCGTCACTCCGTTTCGACGTGAAAGAAAGACAAACAAAAAAACACACTTTCATATTTATAATATACTAGAGACTCACCCTGGCTTCGCTCGGGTTTGTTCCTAGGATGCTTCCCCATACAAACTTTAATCCCCATTTACATCCCCTTAAGGAATAATTTTCCGGAATAAAAAATATCCTAAGTACTTCCCAGGGTGTCAAACTATCTTCTTACCAAATTTAATCTAAATCGATCCAGTAGTTTTTGAGTTTATTCGTTACAAACATACAAAAATACAAATCTTTCCTCTTTATAATACTTGTATAGATAAATTGTGTAATGTAATAAATTGATGGTTTAAAGTTTATTTTCTTCTTTTTAGAGCATTTAAATAAATGGCTTGTTTTAAAAATGTTTTTTTCACAATTATTTTTATTTAACTATTTTGACCACACTATACGGCGATATTTGTAAATAAGACGTATTTTTATTTAAATTATGTAAAAATAGTTTTAATGTAAACTATAAGTACGCAGAGATCCAGGTCACGTAAATATTATTTTAGTTTTTTTTTTCAGAATTCTTTTATACCTTTTATTAATACTTAGTATATTGATACTACTAATAAAAACTTCATATAAAAGTCTCGACTCTTCTCAATATATTTACTATATAACTGTTGGAAAATAATTTAATCTAAAGAGGCTACTGTTAAAATAAAAATATTTTGTTCAACCGGTTTTTGTTATTGTTGGGTAATATTAGTAAAAATAGCTTAAGAAAAACAAATCATATTGATTTTTCGGTATCTAAATTAGTTATACTTATAATAATATTATGATTTCTATCAAACATACCTAATTAAAAAAATATTCAATGAACCATTTTGACCTATTTGCGATATTATTATAGGTTTAGTTTTATAATGGATCAAGATCCGGCTGCAAGATTGCTACGTTTATAGAGTATTTAATCAAAATTATTTTTTTATATACAATAATAAAAGGGACAATATGTTTTGACCGGGTGCCTATTAAATTGTGCCCGCTAGTATGTTTAATTAAATTAATAATAATTGACTTTTTTTTAACAAAATCGATGCACTTGTTATTAAAACGAATTATACTTCACAAAAATATACGTAGAGAACTTGAAAAATTATAGCTGCTGTTGCGCACTTGGCCGCAACTTATTCGCAGCCAGGTGTAAGCAGGTCATATTTTGTTACATTTATACGTTCATGGTGAATATTCATCATTTTTATATCAGATAAAATACCTCTGCCTATGTAAATGCGCAACGGCAGCTATTACTTTTCAAGTACATCTATTTCTGTGAAGTGGAGTATAATTACAGTCCACTTCACAGAAAAATATGTACGTACCAGTACAGAATGAATTATAATTAATTTTAATAACAAGTGCATCGATTTTTGTCAAAAAGTCAATTATTATTAATTTAATTAAACATACTAGCGGGCACATTTTAATAGGCACTCCGTTCAAAACATATTGTCCCTTTTATTATTGTATATAAAAAAATTGATTTAGATTAAATACGCTGTGAACGTAGCAATCTTGCAGCCGGATCTTGATCCAAAAGTTAGTAGGTATAATTATATTACCTATAAATAATTTAATGAAATATTTGTCTGATAAATCATAAATATATTGGTGTAAGGTAAAAAAACTTATTTAATAATAAAATATTATATTTAATAGTCATGGCACATTTATATGAGTATTCGTGAACGTTTCACTTATATACATATTTTAATATAAAAAAAGATATGCGTGTGCACTGTTTGATTATTTTGCAATAAAAACATAATATATACCTTATATTATAAAATAAATATTAAAAATATATATACATATTCTTCAAAATTGTCAGACATGTTCAATTCAGTGTTCCACGACAGCGTCGCGTGAATGAAAACTAATCGATGACTTCCTACGAAGATGAAGTTATTTCTATAAAATTCATTAAAATTTACATTTAAAATTGTTATTTAAGTTAAACTTCTTTACGCGTGACTGATAGTAGGGGAGCCCAAGAGGAGATTTTTGCAGTTACTGAAGCGCGGCAGATCAACATAAGGTAGAAATACTTGAAAACGTCAGATTAAAGTATAGTGGGCTAGTTATTAATTACATTCTGAAAAGTGTGCAATTCAATAATCTGCTGATTTGCACAAGTCGAAGAGGCAAAAATCAACATAAACATAGTGCAAGGTATCCATCCTCCTCATATGTTAATCTGCCGCGCTCGAGTAACTACAAAAATCCCCTCTTGGGCTCCCTTACCATAAGGGCTAAGTCAATACATTGGAAAAATGAGTGTCGCGGAAGTGAGAGTCAAATTTATTATTGATAATTAAAAAATATTAAGTATAATTATATTTTTATAATTATTATTTATAAAAATATATATTTATATCGTTCATAACCATTTTATTAAAATTATTATATTTATATTTTAAATTGTTTTATTTTAATTACGGAATCTGCCACAGCGCCAAAGAAATTTTACGTCAACCACGCGTAAAGTTTACACGCACTTATTTTTTTATAATTATGGTCGCAACTTAGAAAGTATCCAGTCTATATATGCTGTGACTCGGGTGTAGACGCCGGGCCAGCCAGGTGTTCCGCAAGGTGATGGCCCATACGAAACTACTCCTATCACCATCCAATTCTCATAAGTATTTACTTGTCCCATCAAAGGACCACCGGAATCACCTCTGCAAGAATCTTGACCTTGTAAGCCTCCAGCGCATAGTTGATTTTTTGTAATCATTCTATTTGCTTTACTGTATACACGTTTGCACTCCTGCCTGCTTACGACTGGCACGCGGACTTTAAGCTTAACATCTGAATTGGATTCTGTAAATATTAAACTTTATTTTAGATTCATTTATGTTTTGTTTGTTATGTAATATGTATATGCCAATATAAAAAGGCATATGCTTTAGGGGCTAAGAAATAAAGAATCATTAGATAATTTAGCAATCCTACTAATATTACGAGTATAAACACGAAAGTTTGTGAGGATGGATGGAAGTTTGTTACTTTTCCACAAAAACTACTGATAGGGTTTTGATGGTGGACTAAGAGAAGATAAATTATTTACTATCTACATTCAATGTTTCGATAAAAATAATACATTAACATTACAAAAGTAGGTAAATTCATCAATAATGAATATACCTACTTTTAATTTTCTCAAAATATTCTTTATACCCAAAGTTACTACCATTTTTTGTATTTCTTATTATTATGCAAATTAGGTATGAATGAATCGTATTTGTAGCTTATAAATATATGTTGGGACATTAACACAGCACCATCTAGTTTCATGGTAAGCTACGAGGCCTGTGTTATGGATACCAGATAGTTGATATACTACACATATATAACTATAAATACGTACACACATACATATTATAAATATAAACACCCAGTGACCAATGACTGGAGTAGAAACATTCGCGCTCATCACACAAATGAATGCCCCCAGCAAGGGACTCTCAGGAAGCTATAGCCGCGACCGTTGGTACAGCAAGTAGGATCACTAAAACTGAGCCAAGCGTCTCGTCAAAGATAAATTAACATTTATTATCTGTATAAGCTAGCTACAAAAAAATTATGTACCCACTAATGAAATTCTATTAAGTTATCCAAAAACTTAAATGTTTTAAATGCATTAATCATGAATGACTAATAGCATAGAAATCCTACTTCGAAACACACTGGCGTGCAAAAAAATCGGGCCACCTAGAGAAAATGGACAAACTTAAATCAATAATCGTTGAATAATTTAAATAAAAATTATTGCTCGAAAAAAGAGGGAAATCAAATTTACTGATTTTTCGCGAGTTTGGTATAAAAATGTAAGCCGCAAATTAATGGGAAAATTAAAAGATTTCGATTGGTTTTATGATTTTTAATAATGCGTATTACCGCCTCTATTTTTAATTACAGCTTTTAATCGGTTTTTCAGAGATTTGACACACTTTTTTAGATAATCTTGTGTAATAGACTCCCATTCTTCCAATAAGGCGCTTTTTAATTCTTGAATGTTGCTCGGGACTACTACGCGACTTCTAACCTTTCTTTTAAGGTGGTCCCATACATGCTCTATCGGATTGAGGTCAGGGCTTCGCGCTGGCCAGGCAATAGTAGACACTCCGACCTCTTGAAGATACTGCCTTACTGATGTAGCAGTGTGTGGGCGAGCGAGAGAGAGAGAAGCAGAAAATCTTCTCCAATGAACCCAGTAAAAGGCATCACATGATCTTCTAAAACTTCCGTTATATACCTAGCGGCTGTAAGGGATCCATTTTCTATGAATATAAGCTCGGTTTTCGCTTCATAACAGAATCCTGCCCAAAACATAACTGAGCCCCCTCCATATGACACTGTTTCCCGCATAGTACATGGTGCATATCTTTCACCTGGTCGGCGGTAAACAAAATTACGGCCGTCGGCACCATGCAAACACATTCTGCTTTCGTCAGTAATAAGAACCTTCTTCCACTGCCCCAAATTCCAATTCACGTGATCTCAGGCAAAAAGTAATCTTGCAATTCGATCTTGCGTGGCGTCAGGGAAGCGGCTCTAAGTCGGCACCTTACTGTCCACTCGCTAACATTAACACCTCTCACTTCTCTCAGGAGATTTCGAACGTCAACCCCTGTGCGATGACGATTTCTTAGAGCTGATGACACAATAAATCGATCATCACGCTCTGATGTGGCTCTTCGTCGGCCGAAACCATGTCGTCGTACAAAGCCACCAGTCTCTATGTAACGTTTGTACACTCTCTGGACCGTAGAACGGCTAACAGAAAAACGTTGAACCACTTGACGTTGACTTTGTCCAGTTTCAAGCAAAGTCACAATTCGAGATGATTCAGCCTCGGTTAGATCCATCTTGCAGTATTTCTAATAATCGCAGTTCAAAGTAGAAGTGTCTTGTTCAATAATTGGAACTCAAATAAGCTTCTAAAATAACAAAAAACAGTATTTGTGGCTTCAATCCATATTATGCAAATATTCACTAATTACTGTTAATTGACTATAATTAAGCGCACACGTGCATTTCCAGGAATTTTATGACTTTTTTGAAGGACACAAAGGCGTCTAATCTCCTTAATTACCTTTGCGGTATTTTTTTTCACCAAACAATTGTCAACGAAAAATTATGCTTAAAATTGAGGGTGGCCCGATTTTTTTGCACGCCAGTGTAGTTTGCATAAAGTTTTTAAATTTTAATTTCCTTTGTAATCTCTAAATAGACTACATATTTATTTTTAGATACATACTAGCGACTCACCCTCGCTTGGCTCGAGTTCGTCGCTTGGTGATTCTTTAAATTGACATTGCTTTTTTATATATGAACCGATTGAAATAAAACAAATACTCAATGTTAAGTGAAGCTTACCACAATACATTAGTGAAAACCGCATCCAAGTCGGCTAAGCCGTTTCTGAGATTAGCGCGCACAAATGCACAGACAAACAGACAACATTTATAAAAATCATTGTCTTGGGTTCTATTGCATTTATTAAAAACCCCCAAATAATAGTTTTTCTTAAATATTTTCAATGTACAGGTAGCGATCAGTTACAATTTTATTATATGTATTGATTTAAGTAATAAACTCTAACATGCACGTCTTTAAGTAACTCTTAATTCTTGCAGATATGATTAGTACCTATCTTATAAAATATTCATTTAAATGATATTAAAAGTTATTAATGATCATTGACGTAAATGAAATAAACATATTATGTTATCCAGTGGAAAAAAAATCATTTATCCCTAAGGAAATCTATTGTGTTGTTGAGTATAATATCTTCGACTCCAGTTTTAAGGCATCATAATATCTCATTGGTCCAACGATTTTTTTCATGCAAAGCGTTATAGCCCACTTAGTTACACATTAAAGCGTTTACGCCATTTTGGTCTGTTTAGCTCGAAAACCGCACTTTTCAAAGCTGTTATTTATTACCTATGAATCACGCACTAGTTTTACTAACATATTAGTTACTAATATTTTTTTAGGAATTTCCCTTATCTAAATAGTTTATTGAGAAAGAAATATAGTACCTATTTATTATTGAGTGTTTGTATAACATAACAAGATAATTTAATAAGGGTATCGGTAATTTCACTTTTATCATCAGCTAGCATTGCTCGCGGCTCCGCCCGCGTTCTGATGACCAAAAACCAAATTCTTAGGCTTTATATATTAGTTATACTCTTACAATGAAGTTTTTGTATTTTTTCTCAGAAATGAGATATTTTCCCGCGGTACAAAGTATCCTATATGTTAACCCGGATAACCAGCTATCATCATACCAAATTTCATCAAAATCTGTCCAGTGGTTTTCTCGTGATGCGGTAACAGACAGACAGAAAGACAGACAGACAAAAATTCTAAAAACTATAGATTCGGACTCTGTATCAACCGGAAGTACCTACCCTATAGGTTTTGGGTCGAAAACCTACTCGTATATAGTAGTTCCCTTTGATCTAGAATCACGAAATTTGGCAAAAACCAAGGTCTTACAGCACAAATAAAGGAAAAGTCCAAAAAATAAAAAAAAGTTGAAATGCAAGTCTAACAGATTTCCTACAAATTTGTACGGAACGCTCGGTGGGCGAGTCCGACTCGCACTTGTCCGTAATTTTACTTCATATACCGGTCGGTATATTATTATACAACAAATTTTAATGTCTGCTTATTTACTTTAAGAACAGTACATAACAATCTCCTTCTATACTTGGTCGACTAATACACATGATTCTATGTTCTTATGTAAATGGATTCGTTATCGTTAGGTGGTAGTTTTTTAATATTTTTTTATTTTTTCAGTAGGTACTAATTTTATTAATTTAATAATGTTTAATGGGGTTATTAACCCCAGATTTTCGAAGTCTATTTTAAACTACTTAAAATGTCGCACCGATTAAAAGCTTTGTAAATACTTAAAATCCAGGATTCGTGGAGCTATGAGGTTGATAGTGTAACCATCAAGTTTTGGTTTATTTGATTCGTAGGTTATATTTAGTCAAGAACATGTTTCTTTTTTTAATTTTTAAAATCATGATTAATTACATGAACAACCTTATTATTTATTTTAAGCAAAAAATAACCAAAATGTCACATATCGTAAAAAAGCTAGATTTATGTAAACCTAAAGCGTTAGATACTTACCTATGAATACATAAGTATTACAAAAAAATCAGCTGAACATTTATAAACTCCTAAGCCGCACAAGCTTCGTAAAGCCATACTCAAATGTAGCGGAGCATTTGCTTCAAGATGCTGAAACAATAAAAATTCCACTCTTACCATGCGACTTACTTGTTTCTGTTTTACCCCAACCGGCTACTTCCATAGTAAAATCGTCAAAAGTCTTATCTCTTACGTCTGAGCTTAAAGGGAGGCATATGGGTTTGACGAAATCTGAAAAGTGGGGAATAAAATGTAATATTCTCATGCTTTTGCATATTTTCTGGTTTAAGCACAGTCGTTACAGTGATAAATCATAAAATATAATATTATATATTATTTGTCAGACGATAAGAACGGTTACCATAGCAACAAACGTTCGCCTCGCCCGATCACACTTTTCGTAACGCTCTCTCAAACATTCACTAGCTTACTCCCCAGGTCAAGCAAACTTACGCACTTACGCACGTAAAGAAGTTTTACTTCAAAAATATTCTTTCTTCCGATCCTTTTTACAGCCGACTTCGAAAGAATATGCCTACTAGTCTCCAGCCGATTGATCAGGTAATATATGTATATACGTATTTGGCGAAGAAGTGAATCTACCACTTATAACGTAGAAGGAAAGTTTCTTTTACCTATTATCAAAGTGTCAGTGAGTGAAAATATTTAAAGCTTTGTTGTATATTTTATTATTTCAATGCTCCTCAGCTCCACAGAATCACAAAATAGAGCTGTACGCGTGAACTTGATGCCCTACTCTTTAATATTAACCTGAGATAAGTCCAATGCTCGTTATTAAATCTCCTATTAAAATCGGTTTCGGAAATTACGTAACAACAAATAATAAGGGGAAAAATATACACCAGATAATCTTATGACCTCTATATATAAGTATTATAACAATATATAAGTATTATAACAATGATTTTGCAATTTCAATTGTCAGAAAATATTTTACTTATATAGAGATGATGATTGAGTAATGATTTGGTCGCAGCTGGATTTACGGAAGAGCATCCGGGTCTGCAGAGCCCTGGGTCCCTACATGAACCCCCACAAGATATTTTTTATTTCGTTTTTATGTCAAATTAATGAATTCGTGAAGCCAAAAGAGCTTTTTTAATTTCTTATCAATTTTATTCTGGGCCTCCACTCCTTAATTACCGGTCTCAACAATTTTAACGCCGGCCTTTTTTGGATTTGGTTTACGATTTTCAATAATTTACCTGAAATCCGTACTTCCTTCTCTAGTCTTAGTAAAGCTATATCGTTTTGCTGGTGGCCATCGACTGGATTATAGCCTTCATGTGCGATAGCTTCTTCCACCGGTATATCCATCACTGGTGGACTGCATTCGTCCAAATAGCAATCATGCTCGCTTGACACATTCCACTCGCCTAATCGCACTGCAGATCTAAAAAGTACAATTATAGAACTTTCTGTGATTTAAAATATTGCTTAGATTAGGAGTAACATGTACTATTGATTTTTTTGCACATATGGAAAATATGCGCAATTACTATACAGAATAGATGCCTCTAGGCACTACATAGCGTAATATGTGCAGTACAAATATCAACGTTGACGCCATTACTTGCCACTATTTCACTATACATACATATTTCTAGAACATAAAAATTATGTTGCATGGCCATAATTGGGAATCTAAATATTTTAAGATCGTAAGTAACGAATTGCTTATATCATAATATGAGTCAAAAGCAGAATAAAGCAAAACTCAATGAAGAAAAACTTAGCTACATACGTCAAATGTGTATATGTCAAAGTAACTACTTACAGTTTCCAATTTTTTGGCAGATCTGCGCCTTTAACGCAGTGAGCAGCAGTCAAGACGTATCTCGAAGATATCAACACACCACCGCAGTAAAAACCGCTGCCTCTTGCTGTATTTGTAAATGATTTAGTTCAAAAAGCTATCTAATACTTAACGATGATTAGAATTAAATAATAAATCATTTTAATAAAATTACTACATTAAGTAATATATATTTTGTATAATTATCGTTTTTGATCTTTAGCTTTAATTTTTTTTTAATTATCGTGAAAGCTTACGTTTGTCATAACGAATTAAAGCCATCCAAGGGTGTTCATCAATGTCTGTCTCTGTTCCGCCTACAATTCTGTCACTATTCCGTATACCACATATGCTCGTATTAGGTAGTAACGTCATAGGATCGAACCTTGGTAACTGTGCTTGCGAAATTTGAAATTCAGGTGGACAACAAACCTAAAATGAATACTATATAGTACAAAATACAAATGAGTTACAAATTACAATAGTTTAATAAATCTTATGCTTTAGTGTTATCTATACTAATATTATAAAGAGTTTGTTTGTTTATTCGTTCGTTCGTTTGTTTAAAGGCGCTAATCTCAGGCACTACATTCAACATCTAAATTCTTTTTGCATTAGATAGCTCGTTTATTGAGGAAGGCTAGTAGGTAGTATAAGTGCATCAATTAAAATGCTCATTATTATGTAACAAAAATGTTCAGGTCAAATACCATATGACCCTAAAAATGTTGTTTTTACGTCAATAAAAAAGGATCTGAAAATGCCTTACAAGACTTAATACCAGGATTTTTTATGCTAGCTAAAAAAGATGAACGATTTTAAGATTGTCATTTTTGCTTAATATTCTCTTTAGATTTCATCCTATCATATTTTGTTTTTAATTTTAATGCTCATATACCTAGGTTAAGTTAGGTAATTATTTAATTAGGTAATTTATTATAATAAGAAATAATGTATTAACTACAGAAGTTATTGAGTTAGGAATAAAAATTTACCATTGGCCGAGTCTCCTCATCAAATCCACAATGCAGTTGTCTTAATAGCTGTAATAATATCTCTGATGTCCCTTGTTTCAGTCTTTCATATAACCCCTGGCAATCTTGTAGAGCAATGCATGGTGCATCTTTTTTACAAGCTGCAACTGTAAACCAATATATAATATGTAAAGTGGCAGTAACTGTTTTATATGCTGATATTAATTAGATAAGACCTGAACCTCTTTGGTCTTTGTTGGTACCCTGAACAAATAAAATTTGTGGCTGTTTATGAAGAACAAAATAGAACCAGAACCCGCGGCTTCGCTCACGCTAAAACTACAAAAAAACTCTAAAAAGGTATGTTTCATAAAAACTTTCATGTCCTAATTTACCCCCTTATGGGATGAATTTCGAAAATGCTAAAACACGTATTTATTTAATAGTATTGAAGAGCGTTAATACCAAGTTTCAAGTAATTCGGATCATAAATATTTTTTGGGTTGTATTATAACATGTTTTCCCGAGGAAATAGGGTAATCTCCTGCGGTAAAAAGTAGCCTATGTCACTCTCCAGCCCTCCAAATATCTCCACATAAGGGAATTGCATGGGGTAAAACCCCCTGCGGATTAGTTTAACTAGACAAAAAACCATGATTCTTTTGTATAAATACTCGTATAGCTGAATTTCGTTAATACTTATCTCAATCTGTGCCTGAAGGCGGCTATGTGAACTTGGCACCCGACTTTGGAAAAATTGTTCTTTTTTAGGTTTATTTGATCGATTTCGGTTAGTAGTAGATAGTAGTGAAGCTAACTTCGTTTGTAGTAGTGCCAAAAAAAAAATACAGACAACAAAAAAAATGTCATTCCCCGAAGTTGGTAAAAAAATTTTTTTCCGCTTCATTCGTATAGAAAAACGTTAGTAATGGTTTGTAGTGCAATTTTTTTCGTTTGTAGTAAAACAAAAAAAAAAATTTTTTTTTCGAGTATTTTTGCAGAACGATTTTTACTACATACATTCATTGTTTCGTTTGTAGTACCATTATTTCATTTGTAGTAACGTTAATTTTGGTTTGTAGTACCATTATTTCGTTTGAAGTAACGTTAATTTCGTTTGTAGTACCATTACTTCGTTTGTAGTACCATCATTTCGATTGTAGCTGTTTGTAGTAACGTTAATTTCGTTTGTAGTACCATTATGTCGTTTGTAGTTATTTGTAGTAACGTTAATTTTGTTTGTAGTACCTTTGTTTCATTTGTAGTAACGTTAATTTCGTTTGTAGTACCATTATTTCGTTTGTAGTTGTTTGTAGTAACGTTAATTTTGTTTGTAGTACCTTTGTTTCGTTTGTAGTAACGTTAATTTCGTTTGTAGTACCATTATTTCGTTTGTAGTACCATTGTTTCGTTTGTAGTTGTTTGTAGTAACGTTAATTTTGTTTTTAGTACCTTTGTTTCGTTTGTAGTAACGTTAATTTCGTTTGTAGTACAATTATTTCGTTTGTAGTTGTTTGTAGTAACCTTGATTTCGTTTGTAGTACCATTATTTCGTTTGTAGTTGTTTGTAATAACGTTAAGTTTGTTTGTAGTACCTTTGTTTCGTTTGTAGTAACGTTAATTTCGTTTGTAGTACCATTATTTCGTTTGTAGTTGTTTGTAGTAACGTTAATTTTGTTTGTAGTACCTTTGTTTCGTTTGTAGTAACGTTAATTTCGTATGTAGTAGTATCATTGTTACGTTTATAGTACCATTGTTTCGTTTGTAGTGCCATTATTTCGTTTGTAGTACCATCATTTCGATTGTAGCTGTTTGTAGTAACGTTTATTTCGTTTGTAGTACGATTATTTCGTTTGTAGTTGTTTGTAGTAACGTTAATTTTGTTTGTAGTACCATTGTTTCGTTTGTAGTAACGTTAATTTCGTTTTTAGTACCATTATTTCGTTTGTAGTTGTTTGTAGTAACGTTAATTTCGTTTGTAGTACCATTGTTACGTTTGTAGTACCATTGTTTCGTTTGTAGTGCCATTATTTCGTTTGTAGTACCATTATTTCGTTTGTAGTACCATCATTTCGATTGTAGCTGTTTGTAGTAACGTTAATTTCGTTTGTAGTACGATTATTTCGTTTGTAGTTGTTTGTAGTAACGTTAATTTCGTTTGTAGTACCATTATTTACTACTACTACTTATTAGGTACTACAAACGAAATAATGGTACTACAAACGAAATAATGGCACTACAAACGAAACAATGGTACTACAAACGAAATAACGGTACTACAAACGAAGTAATGGTACTACAAACGAAATTAACGTTACTTCAAACGAAGTAATGGTACTACAAACCAAAATTAACGTTACTACAAATGAAATAATGGTACTACAAACGAAACAATGAATGTATGTAGTAAAAATCGTTCTGCAAAAATACTCGAAAAAAAAAATTTTTTTTTGTTTTACTACAAACGAAAAAAATTGCACTACAAACCACTACTAACGTTTTTCTATACGAATCAAGCGGAATTTTTTTTTTTTACCAACTTCGGGGGATGACATTTTTTTTTGTTGTCTGTATTTTTTTTTGGCACTACTACAAACGAAGTTAGCTTCTCTACTATCTACTACTAACCGAAATCGTTCAAATAAACCTAAAAAAGAACATTTTTTCCAAAGTCGGGTGCCAAGTTCACATAGCCCCTGAAGGCCTCGGTGTTTGTGGTAAATAGTCTGTGATTTTATTGAGGAATAATGTAAATGTAGTAAGAGGAAACAAAAAATAAAATAGATATATGTTCATCAATACCTATGTTTTAAAAGCACTTAAGCTGCCATTACAGATTATATCAAGAAACAATTTAGATTAGTGTTGTGATTAGAAAAACGAAAGTACCTACATATATAGTGGTTAGAAGATAATTTGTAGAAAATATAGAAATACAATTGTTTTGTATTTAGTCCAGTATTAAAATGCAAGATCCTATTTAAATAAATAATGTAATCAATAATAATATTATAAAGAGGAAAGGTTTGATTGTTTGTTTGCTTGTGTCGAATAGGCTCCGAAACCACTGAACCGATTTAGATGGAATTTGGTTAGAAGATAGTTTGAGACCCTGGGAAAGACATAGGATGGGTTTTGTCCCGGAAATCATCCCTTAAGGGGGTGAAAATGGAGATGAAAATCTGTAAGGGGAATCAACCTAGGGACGATCCCGAGCGAAGCGAGGGCGAGTCGCTAGTATCGAATAGAAATATAATGTGGAAGTTGCATTACCACCTGAGCAAAGCAAGAACTTTGCTAGTAGGCAATATTCTAATTTTATGTTATGTACACATATATGGCATTTTCCATATTAGGTAGTATTTATTCTTTATAAAACCAGTTCCATATTTGCGTGGACTGTGTATATATCTTAATTCTAAAAGGTAAATATGAAGTGCTTTCAAATATGAACCAGGTTCGTACGAAAAAAGGCTTGCAGAGGGAAATAAGGGTAAAAATTTTAGATATACAAGTTTTTTCCGTAAGATTTGATTAAGGTCGTATCTATATACTAAAATACAGTAAGTACTGTAATAAAATAGTATCTTTGTTATACCGTATACCCGTAGTAGGCATTGTGCTTTTTGGCTTAGCAATAGCACTAACCATAACGAAGGAGAAAAACGAAGGTGCGAAGTAAGAGCCGACTAAGTCCATAAGCAAACGAAGCAAATATTGTGTAGGGGTAATGAGCCTCTAAGCATTGGTTTGAAACCCATCTAAGAGAAGGAAAATTCCGATGCGAATAGGGTCCAACCCGAAATATGCGGCAGATTCCTGCAGTCAACCTGGCTCCACACATATTGGCTCGCCTTTCTGTATGTTAAATGATGTTGAGAGGGTAATGCAGGTGCTGGGCATCCCTGTGTTTCCTTAATTCCGTCCAAGGTGGAGTAATTTCTGTGGAGAGGTCACTCCACCCACGGCAGCTTTGCTACATGGATAACAACACTGGAAGTAGCACACGCATCTAGCATAAAACATGTACAATATACATATGTCCCGAAAGCATAATAGGTATATGTTTCTTCGTCAACTTGTTCCTATCTTTTTAGTTAATTTTTTACGCAGTCGAGGTTCTTATACGTAGTTTTATTTAACAACTAGCAGAACCCGCGTCTTCGCCCGTGTTCAAACTACGAAAAAATAAACTTTTTCGCAATATCTACATACTCGTACTTTATTACTTGCAAAAATTTTTTGCACATTTTTCTACTCCATCTTTCCAAAGTTAATTAGTACCCTCTTAAGTCTACGCCTTCTACTTTTAAGGACTGGCCCTGAGAAGGCGTAGTCAGAAGTTATCAGTGGTATTCGAGGTATGAATTCTGGTTCCCCCCGAGCACATCCAACAAACATAGTGGCCACTATAATATTTAATGAATTGGTCACAGTGTAATCACGTTACATAGCTTAGGCGACTTTTTTATTGCTACTCTCTAGCTAGGTTCTCTCTCTCGCGCTCTAGGTCTGTAATAGTTGTCTCCACTGCTGTAGTCAGACGAAAAGTTATACATAATTTTCCTTTGGACTCCGAATAATTTCCATTCTCTATTTTATATCCCACACAGTAAGCGTGCACTTACAGAGAACTTGAGTCATATTTCTCTATTTAAATATATTCAACAACTCAAACTTCACCGCCCAGTTTTACTCACTTAGGGGCTGAATTTAAAAAAAAATCTACAATACATGTTTAAGTTTTAAGTTGCATTATTACCAAGTTTCAAGTAACTCTGATCGCAAACATTTTTTTCCTCGTATAAACATCACAATCCACTTTTACCTTTTAAGGGATGAATTTCGAAAAAATATATATAATATGTATTGTTTTAGTTTTCATTTTAATGGTAAATACCATTTTCCATGCATCAATTAAAGAGTTTCATGGGAACTTCTATCCCCTATTTGACAGCCTTATGGGATGATTTTTTCAAAAAATGCTAAAATACGTATTTATTTAATTGTATTGAGGAGCATTAATACTAAGTTTCAAGTAATTCTGATCATAAATAATTGTTTGCCCATATAAACTTTATTGCCACGTTTAACCCTTTTAAGGGACGACTTTTGAAAATAATCTAATACCTACATAATATATTTCTTATTTGTCATCTTAAATCTA